CGGTCTGTAGGTTCTCTTTTTACTCTTTTGGTGAAGTCTTTTGAAGAGCATAGGTGTTTGATTTTTAGAAGATCCCAGTTATCTAGCTTATCTTCTGGAGTTTGTGTGTTGATGGTTATGGTTTGTATCCTGTTAATGCCAGGTATTAGGGCCTCTAGCATTGATCCTATATTTTCTTCTATGAACTTTATAGTTTTTGGCTTTACATTTAGGTCTTTGATCCATTTTGAATTAGTTTTTGTATACGGTGTGAGGTATGGGTCCTGTTTCATTTTTTTGCAGACGGACATCCAGTTTTGCCAGCACCATTTGTTAAAAAGACTGTTTGTTCCCCAGTTGATGGTCTTTGGGCCCTTGTCGAAGATCAGGTGACTGTAGGTGGATGGATTTACATCTGGATTCTCGATTCTGTTACTGCTGAGTTTTGAGACTTCTTGGTATATTCTAGATACTAATCTTTGGTTGGATATGTTCTTTGCAAATACCTTCTCCCAGTCTGTACCTTGTCTTTTCATCCTCTTAGTAGGGTCTCTCACAGAGAAAGTTTTTAATTTAATGAGGTCCAGTTTATCAACCTTTTCTTTTGTGGATCACGCTCTTGGTGTCAAATATAAAAATTCTTTGCTGAGGCCTAGATCATCAAGATTTTCTCCCATGTTTTTTCCTTGCGGTTTTATATTTGTGTTTTTCACTTAAGTTCATGATCCATTTTGAGTTAATTTTTGCATGAGGTGTGAAGTTTACATCAAGGTTTTTTTGTTTTTTTTTTTTTTTAACCTAAGGATGTTCAATTGTTCCTGTCTTTCTGCCAATACTACACAGTTTGATTACTGTAGCTATATAGTAAGCTTTGAAATTGGGTAGACGGATTCCTCTCATTTTATTATCTTTTTTTCAAGATTATTTAAGTTATTCTAGAGCCTGTTCTAAAACGTAAACTTTAGGATAAGCTTGTCTATCTATATAAATTACCTTTCTGGAATTTTGACAGGAATTGCATTAAACCTATAGATCTATTTGGGGAGAACTGACATCCTTACAAGGTTGAGTCATCCAATCCACGAACATGGTATGTCTCTCCATCTATTTATGTCTTCTTTGATTTCTTAATTCAAAATTTTATAATTTTAAGCATAAATATCCTGTACATATTTTGTTTAGTGTATGCCTAGTATTTAATTTTCTTTGGAGTGATTATAAATGGCATTGGGCCTTTAATTTTGGTTTCTACATGTTCATTGTTAGCTTATCAAAACATAAGTGATTTTTGTGTGTTGATATTGTAACCAGTGACCTTGCTGAAATCACTTAACAGTTCTAGGAGGCTTTTTTTTTGGTAGATTCCTTGGAGTTTTCTATGGAGACAATATGTCACCTGCATACAGGGACGGTTTAGTCCTTCCTTCCCTATCTGTATGCCTTTTATTTCACAGCTCCAAGCCCTGTGTGAGCTCAGAGTACTATCCCCTCCAGTCCTTTTGGGTGATTCTCCAAGGTTGTTTCCTCGCATGCCAGCACTAATCCATACTTTGGCTTTTCTACTTGTCCTGGGCTTAAAGTCACTCCTCAGGATAGACAACAAGACAAAAAAAAAAAAATGCTCTCTCTAGAAGGGCCTTTTGAGATGCATATCCTCAGGCCAAGATTGAAGGAGATGGAGGATGAATTGTTATCTAGCTTTCTCCCATTAGCCTATTGGTATGAATTGCTTTATCAGATGGTCCCATGTTTATATAGTCTGAGAAGTCAACTGAAATATCTGAAAGCTCCCCACAAATATCTGTATACAGCAGTGGTTAACAAATTTCATTTATGGATCCCTAGGACACTTGTTAAAAATACAGACTCACAAAGTTTGGTAAGATGTTGATAATGTTGAATTTGAGTGATGGGTACGGGGGGATTCATATACTCTTCTACTTTTGTGTATGTTTGAAACTCTATAATAAATTTTTAGAAAAAAAATAAAGATTTCTGGGCCTCTATGCCTAGAGTTTGATTTAGTAGCTCTGAAGCGAGACCCCAGAACCTGCATTTTCACAAATTCCCAGCTGTGGTGCGATTAATTACTTTCGTGTGTGGCCTTTCTAGCCATGGTCTTACAACTCCCACCCAGGTGATTGTGTGAGAGGGTAACTGTGGCCTATCGAGGGGATCAGTCAGTTTTGACTTAAAAGAGAGCCAATTCCAGAGCAGAGAGGAGGAGCCCACCACTAAGGAAGGAGAGACCAGCAGCAGAGACCTGGCAGCAGGAGACAGCTTCCTGGCCTAGGGAGAGAGAAAGCTTAGTGCTTTTGGGCAGATACTGAGGACCAGGGAGAGGCATGCCTGTGAGCACAGCTGGGGAGAGGCTGTCCTGATGGAAGAACTGTATCTTGAGTGTTCTTGAGCCTAAATTGTAACCGTTACTTCCCTAATAAACCCCACAACTGTGAGTACGGTCTTATCGAACCCAGTAGAGAATGCTGTGGGAGGGATAGTTGGTGTCAGAACTGGTAGGGATGGCAGAGAGAGGAGGCTTGTCTGGCCTCCACCTCATTGGTAGTCAGCCTTGTGCTGTTGATCTTGGTTCTCCTTCCCTTGTGTGGAGTTGGAGGAGGTCAGACACCTCCCCTACACCTTTTTTACACTAGCTCAGGTGGTCCTTGGACTACATTTTGAGAAATGCTGGTACACTCGTCGCTAGGAGATACATTTTCTGCACTTGGTTGTCTCTGTGGTTGCTCTTTCCCCAGTTAAGTTATTGTCCATGGATCTCTAGGCTATAATGCTCAAATAAGTGAACACTCCCTTTTCAGTCCATCAAACTCTTACCTGATCAGTCTCTGGAGGATAGGGATCCTTGCCACCAAAATTATAAAAATGGAACTCTCCTCCAGTCAAACAAGCAAGTTCTTTCAAAAATCCATTTGCAATCTCATCATTGTAATTAAAGGAGATGGTGTAAACAGGAATTTTGTGAGAAACTTTGACTTGGTCTATAATCACTTCAGGTGGCTAAAATGTTAAGTTTTTTTAGGGGGGGAGAGGGAGAAGAAAAAGGAAAGGAAAGAAAAAACAAGATGTGAAAACCCTTAGTATTTGCTGTTGCGAAATGCTCAACAGTAATTAACAGTGTTGAGTGGCTTCTTGTAAAGGGGTGAATTCAACTGAATAAACAAAGCAAGCTCTGCTAGAAAGTGAGAGTGAAATCAATAATACATGGCCCTTGCTCTCTGAGGGTTTACAATTTGGTGGGAAAAAGAAACTGAGAGAAAGATTTGGCTAAACAAGTCATTCAGCTTGAGGTGTATCTAAGCTCAGAGTCCATGCTTTTAAAGCACTGGGCTATGCTTTAGACCACTTCAAGTTTCGGGCCAGAAACCACGGGTAGACCATCCTAGCTGTCAGCGTTCCACAGAGTGGGGTCCCTGGAGTCTAGAGATGGTTTCCAAGGCATCTCTGCCAAAAGAGCCATTTCTAGCTTTGGACATGCCATGGTCAACCTGCCTCCCATGGAGACTGAAGGAAGGAACATTTGTTGACATCTTCCATGTGCTGACACTGCTGGGGGGCCTAATCTTCAGTTAATTTTCACAACGATCCTATGAGGTACTTTTTAAAAGACTGCCTGTTGCCTACTTGATAGCCATTCCGCTCCTCCTTTTTACTATCAGAGCCCTGTTTCTTTTCATGGCAGCAATATGCCCAGTTAAAAAACAAAACACAAAATAATAATAATTATATACACACACACACACAAACCCACCTTCACTTTTGAGACTTTTTTGTCTCAAAAAAGGCAGCAGTTGGAACCTACCAGCCACTCTGTGGGAGAAAGATGTGGCCGTTTGCTTCTATAAAGATTCCAAATCAAAAACCAAACCCATTGCCACTGAGTCGATTAGAACTCATAGCGACCCTATAAGACAGGGTAGAACTGTCCCGTAGGGCTTCCAAGGCTGTAATCTTTATGGAAGCAGATTGTCACATCTTTCTTCCTCGGAGTGGCTGGTGGGTTCAAACTGCCCAGTTTTCAGTTAGCAGCTGAGCACTTTAACCACTGTGCCACCAGGGCTCCTCTGCCATAAAGATTTACAGCCTTGGAAACCCTATGGTTTTGTCATCTGATATGATTTTCCTAGGTGTTATAAATCCTACCTCTACGATGTTAATGAGGCAGGATTAGAGGCAGTTATATTAATGAGGCAGGACTCAATCTAAAAGATTAGGTTGTATCTTGAGTCAATCTCTTTTGTGATATAAAAGAGAGAAGCAAGCAGAGAGATAGGAGGGCTTCCTACCACCAAGAAAGCAAAGCTGGGAGTGGAGAGCATCCTTCAGACCCGGGTCCCTGCCCTGAAAAGCTCCTAGACCAGGGGAAGATTGATGGCAAGGACCTCCCCCCAGAACCGACAGAGAGAGAAAGACTTCTCCTGGAGCTGGCGCCCTGAATTCAGACTTCTAGCCTCCTAGACTGTGAGAGAATAAATTTCTCTTTGTTAAAGCCATCCACTTGTGGTATTTTCTGTTACAGCAGCACTAGTTAGCTAAGACATCACTTTTTTACATTTCCTATACTGCCTGTAGTATAAACAATTTTAAAAAATCACTAAGAGCTTATTGCAAAGAGGGGGGAGAAAAACCTGTTCATGCCACTCTCACATCTGCCTCTCCATCCCACATCTTCCCCAGACTCCAGCCCCGTTTCTGGAGGCCTCTGGTCATCCATGCATCATAGGTGCTCAGACAGGCTTCCTCCACCAGCAACCCACAAACTTGCCCCTTCTTTACATTTAAATTTAAACCAGAGCCCTGATGGAGCAATGGGTAAGCGCTCAGCTTCTAACTGAAAGGTTCAAACCCACCCAGAGGCTCTGTGGCAAAAAGACCTGGCGACCTGGTCCCATAAAGATTATGACCAAGACAACCCTATGGGGCAGTTCTACTCTGTCACATGGGGTCGCTCTGAGTCGGAATAGACTTGACAGCACACGACAACGTAATCACTGTCAATTAGAAACAAGTTATCCTGACTCCTCCCTCCCTTGCTCCCACCTTCTCTTCACCAACTTGTTTCCCAAACTAGTCATCAGGTCCTGTTGATGCTCCTTCTGTCATCTTATCTCAGAATACAGTCCCCTTCTCTCCACTTCTGTGCTCCTGCCTGAGGATAAATTAAAAAAAAAAAAAAAACACAAAACCACTGCTCTCGAGTTGATTCCAACTCATAGTGACTCTACAGGACAGAGTAGAACTGCCCTATAGGGTTTCCAAGGAGCGGCTGGTGGATTCAAACTGCTGACCTCTTGGCTAGCAGCTGTAGCAGCTGTAGCTCTTGACCACTGAGCCACCAGGACTCCAGGCCCTTACTGTTATTCTCCATCAAGATCACAGCGCCAGCCTGTGGCAGTGCCAGCTGTTCCCCGGCACAGCTGAGGCATATTTCTAAAACACAGATAGACTGGACCATATAGCTCCTCTGTTTCACAGCCTCGGATAGTTCCCCACTGCAGTAAAGTCACACTTTTAATGTGGCATTCAAGGACCCTCCCAATCTACCCCAACCTAACATTCTAGCCTTAGCCCTTAGACTCTTCCATCATCGCTCCTGCTCTCAGATCGCTTCTGTGAGCACCTCAGGTATTTTCACACGCCTATTCCTTCTGGAGCTCTGGTGGCATAGTGGTTAAGAGCTCAGCTGCTAATCAAAAGGTCGGCAGTTCAAATCCACCAGCTGCTCCTTGGAAACCCTATGGGGCAGTTCCACTCTGTCCTATAGGGTCCCTATGAGTCGGAATTGACTTGATGGCGTAAGATACCAGTAGTGTCCTCTGCTTAGAAAATTCTTCCTTCTCTTCCCAGACCTAGCTCAAATGTCCCCGCCTTAGTAGAACCTTCTCTGGTCCTCTCTCCATCTTTTACAGAAAAAATGTATTACTCCGTTCTCCCATACATCTCATACCTCAGGTAACCCCGTTCCTCACAGTGCATCAGAGTCGACTATATATGGTCTATCGCGTTCCCCAAAGTGTAAGTGTCCCAATGACAAGCATGAGATGCTATTCATCTTAGTAGCTTAAAACCTTGGCACCATGCATGGACCATAAAAGGGGCACAATAAATTGCTTCTGACTAGAAAGCATAGTAAAGTTGACAGGAAAATCATTCAAAATAAAATTTCACTATGCACACAACTTTACTCTCATAAATCTAATGTTGCAGTAAGATTCAGTTGATTTACTATTTAAGCCCTGAATCATTCAACCCAGGATATTTTGAAATATTTGTCTGCACATGTAAACACCTCACAATGAAGGAGACAAGTTGATGCTAATTCACTTTGCAGGTGAATTTATATTGCCTTGGTCTGAAAACCCTTGTTTATTTAACGCCTGGAGCATGAGTCTTTCATTCACAAAACTCAAAAGAGGATGAACAGACCCCTCTAAAACTTTCCAAACATCTTCCAGCCAGGCTAAACAAAACAGAGAACATTACACTAGAAAGGCATGCTTTTGTTTAAATGATTAGTAAGTTAAAATTAGGAGTAAATGGTGAAGGGAAAGGCAATACACAGGACAGGGGAAGTCAGCACCACGTGACCAAGGCAAGTGAAGACACTGAGAGGTATGCAAGAACAAAAGGTAAGTACAGTAAGTATCACAACATGTACAGTCTGCAAGGTGTGGAAGGGTGTATGGGAGTGCGTCCATGTGCATATATAGGTTTGGCAGTGGATATTTCTACATATATGTGTATGTGCTGCATGTATATTCATATATATAATAGAGCACACAGGGGTCATAGTCATGGAAACTTCCGAGGCATGACCAAACACCTCACGGGACTGAGTTACTGGGCTTGAAGGCTAAGGACCATGGTCTCAGGAGACATCTAGGTCAACTGGCACAACATAGTTTATAATGACAATGTTCTACAGTCTACTTTGATGAGTAGCATCTGAGGTCTTAAAAGCTTGAGAGCAGCCATCTAAGATACAACTATTTGTCCCTTTGCATCTGAGGCAAAGGAGAGTGAAGACAATCAAAGACTCAAGGAAGCAATTAGTCCACAGGACTAATGGACCACAGGAACCACAGCCTCCACTAGCCTGAGACCAGAAGAACTACATGGTGCCTAGCTATCACTACTAACCTCTTTGATCAGGATCACAATAGAAGGTTCTGGTTAGAGTGGGGAAAAAATAGAACAAAACTCAAATTCGTAAAAAAGACCAGACTTACTGGTCTGATAGAGACTGAAGGAACCTCCAAGATATCCTTGGACATCCTTCTAACTTGGAACTGAAGCTATTCCCCGAGATCATCTTTCACCCAAATAATAGACAGGCCTATAAATAAACAATAACACCCTGAGGAAAGTGCTCCTTAGAACAATCATCTATGTGAGAACAAAAGGGCAACATCTGCCCAAAAAAGCAAAGATGAGAAGGCAGGAAGGGGGCAGGAAAACGGGACAAATGGAAACGGGGAACTCAGGGTGGGAATGGGAAGCATGCCGACACATTGCGGGGACTGCAGCCAATGTCACGGAACAATTCGTATATAAATTACTGAATGGGAAACTAATTTGCTCTGTAAACCTTCACCTAAAGCACAATAAAATGTTCAAAAAAAAAAAAATTAGGGGTAAAACCAGGGACATTGTGCAGTGACATATTTAGATTCAGAGTCTCCAAAGAAAGAAAAATCAAAAGAATCTCCACACTCTTATTGGTAATAAAATATAAACCAGTCTTTAGTGGAAGGCAGACCTCTCCTTTCATGCGCCGTGTGTCACATTAACCAGACAGCCTTTACTGTCATATAAATTCTCCTCAGTGTTTTTAGTAGACAAAGGAATTCCTCAGTGTATTTTCTCACTTCAGTTCTGGGTTCCTAAGCCAATGAAGTGTCTCTCAACAGCTTTTCAATGGCAGTTGAAAAGACCCCCAAAACCCATTTTCAGCATTCACTTTCAAAGTACTGGTGAGGGCCTCTTTGTTCCCAACTTTGACAAGTACCTGATCAGGTCTCCCATCTGTCAAAAGGTAGATTACTTGTGTTTCTTTATCAGCAAAAGCAATTTGCAGTGCATTCAGAGTGTTTGTGGAGCTTCCAACCTACAGGAGAGAGAGAGAGAATGGATTATTCCGAGTTACCCACACCGAGTTCTCAATTCCTCTGCACTGTATCCACCTTTGCCAAACTACAGAGATTGGAGTCTGAATAAGTCTGGGCCCCATGGTTCTGCACGGCACTGACTCTGGAGAGAAATGAGCGCACAAAGCCCACCAAGAGCTGAGCAGCTACTGATCCACAGGAACTAGCTGAGGGAAAGGGGTGCAAACCTCCAGGGGCTCAAGTTCTGCTGGTTTCTCACCGTAAGATACATATTTGAACCTCAAAAAAGATCTCAAAAACAAGTGCTAATTATATTTGGCTTCCAAAAAGAAGAAAGAGGAGACAAAGGGAAGGTACTTGTAAAATAAAAGATAAATTAAAATCATACTGAGATAATAATTTAAGCCCAAGTGATTCCAAGAAGTCAAATCCCTGGGTGTGCCATAAAAGCTTCTATCCAGACAGTCCAAAGACTGCTAGAAGACAGGACTATGGATTTTCTGTCTTGAAGACCTAGCTCTTAATGCAATTTTACCTGTGTGTGTTTCTGTGTGAGATACTAACTCGGTTACTGTTCACCCAACTGTGAACAGAGCTTCAGCATGAAGCCTGAATACACGTTGGCAGGGATCACCTCTGTTTCAAACCAGAAGTTATATATGATGCCCACTATTTGGCAAATGTCAGTGGGGTATCATCAGCAATCTAACACACAGACACATCGAACATAACTTGATTCCACAAAGGTTCTGGTGAAATATAAACCTTCAAGTGCACGGATGTGATAGTAGGTCTTATACATATTGATATATGGTATTGGATGAGGGAATCCTAATGTGCTGCTTTACATATGATAGAAATAAATAAGCAAAACAAAACATAAGACCAGTCAAAATCAGAATCAATCAAAAGGAGTAAGTCAGGGCCCATTCTTTCTCCTACACTTGACTTCGATCATAACACCAACCACAACCGTTCAAGTAAAAAAAGAACAGACAAGAATATACACACTGTATTTCAAGGGAAACTAATGATAGGGAGATTTTTGGCAATCTTTCTAATCATGTTAAATGATTACAAATTGGAAAATCTCTTAAATACTTCATCAATATGGAAGGAAATGGATTTTTAGATTAGTGTAAATTCACTGGAATGTACTTTTCTTAATATGCAAAAATGATCCTACTGGGAGACTATCCGCAGGTGATACAGGGCTTTGAGATGTCTGAAAGGACTCCCCATTAGTTCTCACTAATTCTCCCACTATTAGGTGTCACGATCCCCCACCTCAAAGCCTAGGTCCCATTACTCACACCCTAGTTGAAGAGGGGCCAGAAATTTCAACTTCCACAGGTGAAGATGCTCTGCCTCCCATATCAAGACTCAAGGTAAGAAGTACAAAGTAAGCAGAGTTAATGGCAAATATCCAGTACTTACACCCTTCCCCCGAAGACTTTTCCAAAACCTCATCATACACCACAGATGCCCTCCCCATTAACATTTTCCCAGATCCAGACATCCTTTATGGTGGGGAATCCTTTATGTGACTCATCCAGTCGCTCTTACCTAGGCCTCTTTCACTGGGTTTCACTCCCTTTTAATTCAATAGATACTTAGTAAGCACCTAAGTGCCAAATGATGGGCATTTTGCTAGGTGCTGGGGATATAATTTATTAAACTAGACCAAACTCTGTGCCTTAGAGGGGGCTCACAGTACAGTGCTGGAGACCTAGGAGTCTACTACCAAGCACCATGATAAAAGCTGTAACAGATCATGTGCAGAGTAGGATGGAGCTCACTCCAGCTATGTGGATAGCTAAAGACACCTCATTGGTGGGGATGGCTGGGAAGACTATTAGAGGATAGGCAGGTAAACATGGAAAGGATGGTGGGCACACCGGACTCCTAACTTGTTCAGGGATCAGCAAGTAATTCTACACTGATAAAAGCCATATGACAAGACAAGACAGAAAAGCAATGGTGGAAATGATAACCATAAAAACATCTATTGAGGGCTTACTAGGCCAAGTACTTATATTCTTTTTTAATCCTCACCAGAAAAAAACAGATGCCATCGAGGTAATTCTGACTCATGGTGACCCCATGTGTATCAGAGTAGAACTGTGCTCCACAGGGTTTTCAATGGCTGATTTTTTAAAAGTAGAACACCAGGTCTTTCTTCTGACATGCCTCTGGGTGGACTCAGACCTCCAACCTTTCAGTTAGCAACCAAGTGTGTTAACCATTTTCACCACCCAGGGACTTTGATCCTCACAACAACCCTTTAAAGGAGACACTATAATCTCCTTTTGACAGTTGAGGAAACTGAGACTTGAAGAGCTTGAAGAACCTGCCCAAGGTCACCAAGCTGGTCTGTGGTAAGCAGTCCTTGAACTCAGGTCTGTAAACTCCAAAGCTCATGCTCTTACCTACTGTGTTGTCCTACAAGAAAGCTTGTAAAGGGCTGGCGTGCTGTCCTCAGGAATTTGAACTGTATGTTATTTCCGTATAGCTACGTTCCCAAACCTAGCTGTATGTCAGAGCTACCCAAGGAGCTTTTAAAAAACATCAGTTTGCAGGTTCCATCCAAGAACTACTAAAGAAAAAGAATAAATGGTGGTACAGCAAAGAAACTGTAAATTTAAAAAAAACTCCCGCAGTTTCTGCCTAGGGATGTAGAGCAGTGGCAAGAGTATCACTCTCAAATTTACAATAAAGAAATATCCAGACAAAAACCAAGTTCATGACTTTTGTTAAAGCTATCAGACAACCAGTTGGCCCAAAATCTAAGGAGACACAACTTCCTGCAGAGTTAGGTGAGATCCAAGCACTCCTTTCTGGGACAAGATGCAGAAGAGTTCAGCTAGAGTGATTGGTAAATTGGTGAAGGCTGGCCAGGTATACACTGGTGAGAGAGGATAACGGCTTAGGAGTCACAAGTCTAAGGTGTGTCAGTATTCTCTTGCAGGCTTTTTGCTACAAACCCCACAGGGGGCTCATAGAAAAGATTGAGAAAGTCTTGAAAAGTCTTCATTGTACAGAACTGCAGAAAAGGAACAGTAGTTGCAGGAAATTCTACTTTTCTTCTATTTCCCCTATAGAACGAAAGCTTTAATCTGTGCAGAGGGGAGGGCAACAAACACAGTTACCCTTAAGGTACTGGTAAAATCCCTCATGGCACCTTGGGGAAAATAAGAGAAAAGAAAAACCCACTATGCCTGGGGAAGAGGCAGGAATAGGTCAGAACTACTGAGAAGGCCACACCCCTGAGACTCTGGGACACCATAGCTGACTAAGACTAAGTCTTCTTCAGTCTATGCCCACCACTCCCCTACAAGCATTGACTAACAAGTAACTTGCAAGAGATGGACCCTCTTTGGGCACAGTGTAAAGAGAAAACCAAAAGCTGAGGGCAGACATTGAAAAAAAAAAACCTTGTAATAAACCAGCTCCCGCCTTAAACACACATACAAAAAAATCTGTTACTGTCAAGTCAATTCTGACTCATAGTAACCCTGTAACACAAAGTATTACCAAAAGACTTTGAAGGGTATGGTGGACTGAGGGTAAAAATAGCAAACAAACCACAAACCCAGCCCAATTACTAATTTGATTAATTTAGGCCTCCAAACACACCCCCTCCCCAAGAAAGTGTGTTCATTTCCAGGCATAAAAACTATCTCAGTCTCTACTGTACCACACAGGATATCCGGCTTTCAACAAAAATATAATAAAGCATACAAAAAGGAAAGAATAAAGAACACACTGCCAAGAGACAAACTACTCATCAGAAACAAACTCAGATATGACAGATGTTTGAACTACCTGACAGAAAATTTAAATAACTATGATTAATACACTAAAATCTCTAATGGAAAAGGTGGCCAACATTCAAGACCAGATGGATAATTTTAGCAGAGAGATGGAAACCATAAGAGAGAGTCAAATTGGAAATGCTAGAAATGAAAAACACAGTAACACATATGAAGAAGTATTTTAATGAGCTCATCAGTAAACTTGACACAGAAAAGGAAATAATCAGTGAACTTGAAGACAGGTCAATAGAAATAACTCAAACTAAAATACAAAGGAAAAAAGAAAGGAGTAAATCAAATCAGAAGAGAGCATCAAAGAGCTGTGGCACAATATCAAATGGTCTAACATATACTTTAATTGAAAACACAGAAGAAGAGAGAGAAAACAGGGCAGAAGAAAAATTTGAAAAATAGTGGCTGTGAATTTTCCTAAAGCAATGACAAACACAAAACCACAAAGGTCAGAGAACAGCATGTAGGATAAATAAAATGGAATTCTCTACTACTCCCACTGGGGCAGTGTCAGAGAAGGCCAATAGTTAGCAAGGATTTTATCCCTGCTGGCTGGAAATGAGTTTCCCCCTTCCCTTACCCTACAGTGTCTACCCAAAGTGGCAGTAACAAGGGGACTCTCCCCCTCCTTCGTCAAAAGAGACCGAGTGGAGAATCTGGACTTCTATCTCCACCTGGCAGTAACAAAGCAGAGCCCACCAACCCCCTGACAGCAGTGTCAGGCAAAACCAACCAAATAGAAGGTTTAAATAATATCCAGAGTGTCATAATATGATACAAAAATATCCAAAGTTCAACTGAAAATCACTCATCATACAAAGAATCAGGAAGATCTCAAACTGAATGAAAAAGACAATCAATAGACGCCAAAACCGAGATAACAGTGATATTAGAATTATCTGACAAATATTTTGAAACAGCCATGATAAAAATGCTTTGACTATCAGTTATCAACCTGCTTGCATCAAAGGAAAAACTAGAAAGTATGGGCAAGGAAATAGAAAGTCTTAGCAGAGAAATAAAGGATATAAAGAAGAACTAAATGGAACTTTTAGAAAGGAAAAATACAATATAAAAAGCTCAGCAGACGGACTCAACATCAGAATGACAGGAACAGGGGAAAAGAATCAGTGAACTGGAAGACAGAAGAATAGAAATTATCCAATCTGAAC